TGTGCCCTCATAGGCCTGAGTATTCTCTGTGAGTTCTGTGTGACCACTACAGTGAATTATTGAACTCAGTAGAGAGCAGCATGCTGTGGGAGGGACAGTTCATGTCAGAATAAGGAGCAATGGATGGTGAAGACATGTCTGACTTCCACCTTATGTAAATTCACCTTAGGTTGGTGGGCACTGGGTTCTCCGCCCCTCGCCCCCACCCCACCCCTACACACACACTGAAGCCAGAGGAGGTCATACGCAGTCTCTATAAACTCAAAGCAGGTAGTTCTACCCTGTCATATAAGGTCTCTATGAGTCAGCATCAACCTGATGGCACTAAGATGCCATTTTCTCAGAGTACAAAAGGAATATCAGAATTCCTTTATTACTCTTACTTTGTTAAAAATCCATTAATTTTTTTCAATTATGTTTATTTACATTATGGTGTTAAGTTCAAGTGCTATAAATTAATATGCATAACTTCTCTATTCACAGATATTCTGTTTAAGTATAGGTTGCTACGATCAAAAACCGACTCTATGACTATGCGCTTTGGTTTCAGTGTTAATTCAAATAAATAAAAATAAGTCAGAAAGTTAACAAAATAATAGTTATACAGTCCAAGTATATATGAATAAACTAAGTAATGGAAGAAAATCTAAAGTTTTAAAAAATTACTATTTAACTTTATGATTTATTTCTATATTTGATTTTAATCATAAATAATTTTTAGTTTCAAGCTACCAATTTTAAAGACATATTTTCATACTTTTAACTTCTCTTAGTTAATATCATGTATGTTAACTGGCAGTTGTAGAAGCTAATAACTAAATAATTTAAGCAATTTCATTATGGTGATGAAGCTACTTGTAATGGGATATAGAATAGTTTGAACTCCCTCTAGGGCTTTGTCATTTTTAAATCTCTTCCTCTTGCCTCATTTCAGTAAGAGACAAATTAATTGGAGATAGTAAATAATTGAAGAAGTTTTCACAAAATGATTGCTCTATCATTTCAATATAACATTACATCGAAATATATCTCATTTTGAAATTTACAGCTTTAAACTAAGTACTGTTCTATTATTTATAGACTTTGGAACTATATGTACTATTTGTATTTGGGCCCTCATAATCTACACTCATTGAATTTTTAAATTAAGATGTAATTAATTACTTAATACAGCCCTTCTAGGAAACCCAACAGATTATCTAATGCAACTTGTCTTTTGACTTCTTGACTGTGGCTTTCATGATCATTGACCAGGGTTCCAAACCAGACAAAATTGTTAACAATTTCAACCTTTTCTCCATTTATCATGATGTTACCTGTTGGCCCAGTTGCGAGAATTTTGAATTTCATTATATTGGGTTGTAATTGATACTTAAAGGCTGCACCTGACCCAAGTCATGGTATTTTCAATCGCTTCATATGCCTATGGAAGTTGGACTTTGAATAAAGAAGACCAAAGGAGAATCGAAGGATTTGAATTATGGTGCAGGAGATAGAAACATTGAAAGTACTGTGCACTGCTAAATGGACAAATGCATCTATCTTGGAAGTATGACCGGAGGGCTCCTTTGAAGCAATGATAGTGAGACTCTGTCCTACATACTTTGAAGATTTTGTTCAGAAGAGACTAGGTCATGGAGAATGACATCATATTTGGTATACTGGAAGGGCAGCGAAAAGGGGAAAGTTCTCAAGATGTACTGGCACCGTGGCTGCAACAATGCGCTCAAACACAGGAACAGTTCTGAGGTTCTAACTTCCTTTCTGTAGTGTATTTGAAATTCTATCCTCTATACCAGTGGTCAGGAGCTCGAAACTACCAGACGCGCCCAGAGAGAAAGACGGGCTTTCTACTACTGTCAAGGATTACAGTCTCAGAAACCCAAAGAGGCAGTTCTCCCATATGCTCTGGGCTTGCTATGAGTTGGCATCAACTCATGGCACTGAGCTTTGTTTTTATTTTTTCATACCTCTGGTTATAATCCCATCTTGGAGGAAGTTATCGGTTAGGTTAATGAAACAAGATTAAGTTGGGATGTATCTCGAGTCTCACCTTACTAGAGGGTATGACTCAACAAACCGCCTTTTGTTTCCTTGGTCTGTGGTCAAAGCCATCTTTGTGACCACCTTTCCTGACTGCGCATGCGCAAAAGCCAAGGCGCTCTGCTTTCACTTTCGGAGTTTAGCGCTCTTCCTCTGGATCCTGCATCCAGCTTGCCTTGACCTGGCCATTCGTTCTTGGAAATTGAGTTCAGACCTGGCCTAATTTTACCCAATTCTACAGCCTTTTGGAGAGAAGGATCCTTCACACAGATATCTGAACTCTGGATTTGGAATTTACCAGCAGCCACAACCATGTGAACCATTTTCTTAATGATTTACAAGTTCTGTGAGCCATTCCAGTGAATTGCAAAACCCTGGGATTGAGGGAATATACTAGAGTGGGGTGTGGCGGTTGATATCAGGGATAATGAAGTATAGCATTTTGGAAAAGTCTGATATTTGGGACATCTATAATCTCCACCTCACTAGGAAAAATCTGTGTTAATCTTTCAGAAAGAAATTATTTTTACATGTAAACACATATGAGTAAATATATGTTATTGCACAAAAACTGAATATTTTATAGGTCAAGTAATACTCTTTACTCATATCCTGAGTAAGTTAACAAAATTAAATAGCACAAAATCATATTTCTGTAATTAATAGTTATTATAAAGTTTGATATTTATCATTCCAAAAATATCACAGTTCCTACATTATTAGATTTATAGGAATAGGCTATAGACAGGCAGGGCCTGCTAGAAAGGATTATATGCCTAGAAAATTGACCTTTGATGAACCTGAAGTCTTCACCAGTTATTTGAATCTGGCAAATGTGACTCATTACCAAATTCTTCAGATAATTGAAAATGGAGCTCCTTCAAAGACATTACAACATCCTCACCCCCAAATGGCAAGACTGCTAGCATTGAGGTGCCTTCCTAAATCCATGCCTCTGATAGGAAGGGTTATTAGATTATATCACAAATTCTTTAAAGTCACCTTTGACTACAGATAAATTACATTTTCTGCCTATATGAAAAGAACCAGCCTTTGCCTTTGTCTGTCAGCATCTTTCAATAAATTACATCACTGTCACACTAGTGGTAACTGTCAGTATTTTCCAATCACACACTCTTTTAGGGTTGAATATTAAAACTGTATGCTGAGCTTAAAGTTTTATAAAGGACTTATTAAAAAAAACAAGAAATAAAAGAAAACTATTTCACCAATAATACTTTAGAGATTAGTATCATTTATGTGGATTGGAGATCCTGACCTTTGTACCTTTATTTCAAAATTCTCTAGAGTCACTGGGGTCCCCAACTTTTACTTGTACTGGAGCTGCCTCAAAGGGGTACAAACACAGTGAAAACGAATTGCCCCAAGAGTTTCAGGACCACACAGCTGGGTGCAAACATCCTGCGGAAGCACACAATCCTGTGCTTGCCAACAAGCCAAGGTGCATCACGTCACATGTCATTCCTGTGTGGTCACTTGAGCGTGTCACTGATTTTTGCTTAGAATTGAGAAGAATCTGTTCCTTTTCCTTCTCTCTTTCATCTTATGAATTTCCTACTCATGAGCATACTACATACAGTAAGAATATTAATGTCAGTGAGAAAAGATAACACAAGCTGTGATTTGTCTTCCATAACCTACCTTACTTTGAAAACAAACAAACTGGAAATCATTAAATAAATAATCAAGTTATCTAATATGTGCTTGTAATTACAATTTTCACATTTACAAGAGAGTCCATCTGAAATATTGGTTTCTATAGGAGAGGAAATCTTGTACCACTTCCTCCCACTCACATACCTCATACACATATGCTTATTTAAGAAAAGTCTTTTCTTGCTCCACCACAAAAATATAGCCTTTCTTGATTTTAATCACTCAAACATAGAATCTGTTCATTCAATCTATTGACTTCTTTATTTTGACTAAAATATATGATCTTGGGACAAATCTATGATCAGTCTTCTAGATAACACAAACAGTATCATTTACTGAAGTGTGGCGTTTCACCTAATCCATATGTTTTCTTGAAGGCTTTATTATCATGTTTTAACAATCGTATATCAGTTAAAATTGTCATCAGCATTATTAGGAATTAGATTGTGTTTAGCTTACTTCTCTTTTAGCATGTGCACACCACCTGGAAGGAAAGTTATTAGTGCATCATGTAATAGCTCATCACCAGTGACATCATAAAAATTTCATCAACACATTACATACAGTATGAATTTTTATATGTAAAAGTAAATACAAAGTACTGCTTCTGCATTTTTTGCTAGAACTGCACCAACTATTTTAATAAGAACAGTTTAAAAAAAAAGAACAGTTTTAAAATTATCTTATTCAACTTGTACAGTTAAGCAATTATCTGTTAAGAAATCAGGCAAAAATTCAACACCTAGAGGCTGCCTGAATTACCTCTGTATTACTAGATAATTATGTCGTTCACTCTTCAAACTGCAGATATGCAAACATAGCGTCTCAGTGATTAGGTCTCCAGAAATTAAGCAAAGGGATACCCTGAAATAGGTGGATAATTTGAGCAGAGGACATGCAATTGTCTGCAATAGAAACAAGAACTGTGGAAACAGAAGAGAATGATGACCTGAATTAGTAATTACTTCCAGGCTGCACTCTGCTTCATTGCACACAGCCAGTTTTTAACCATTAGGCCTGTTGATTCCTTGGCATTAACCAACCTCATAATACCATCATAATCATCATATACATTTTCATACCACTCTTTTCTATTAGTGTGTATTAGCTCAAGTAATAAGCAAATTTAGAGAAAACCGTAGTTTAAATTAGGTAGTTAGAATGTAAAAATATTTCATCTTAATCCTGTTCCCAAAATCAATTTCTTTTGCTATTAGAAGGACTGTATCATCTTTCCCTTGGCCTGTACACAGGAAAACCGAGAAAGGGGATTTACTTACACTGCACAATGAGCTGCACCAATGCTTCCCTGGGCTTCACATTAAATCCATTGTACTGGCTGGTCTGACATCTGTACATTCCTGACATTTCTCTCGACACGTTCACAATCCTCAATGTGCCGTCATAGCTCTCCGTTTGCATTGACCCGTCAGGCATTGCAACTTCTTTATCTGCTCTAGACCAAAGGATGATTGGTTTGGGTTTTCCAGTTACTTGACATTGCAGTTCTATTGTGTCTCCTTCTCTGGTGACCAAAGGTGATTTTTCCTGTGGAACAGTCAGATTGGGTGGAACTTGAAATGGGAAAAAGAAAATTTTTCAAAGTTAGTATAAACTTGTACAGTGCATTTAAACATAGAACATCATAAGGAAATGCTTTCTGCTGGTTGAAGAAATGTGACATTTCGAATGACAAAAACTATGGAGATTTTGGGAATAAATGGCACATGCCCTCACTTACAATAATTTGATTTATTTTGATAGAATGTTCCCAAATGAGGACTTTAAACATTAGCTCAATACATAGGCAATAAATTGGAACGGAAATGGTCAACGTAAGAAAAATCCACTCAGTGACTTGTCATTATCGGTCATTAAAAGCGTTTCACAAAAGGATGATCCTGCTTGTTGAAAATAGGATTTCGTTTTTTAGACCTCTGCTACCTATGCTGATATTCCTTACCCTTGGATGCTGTAAGAAAGTAATGGAAGATCATGTAGATTTAGAAGGCACAGTAAATGCAAGTAATGGTAAAGTGGGGGCGGGGAACCACTTCTGATAATAAGATTCAGAATTTGGGCTCTGGTTTAAGAACTGTGGCCGATGGCTAAAAGATTAGCTTGTTAACCTCACTGTTGGGAATGGGATGGAACAACCGACTACAGTGCCATACTCTCCAGCAATCCCCTATATTCTTCTTTTGAACTTCTAATGTGTTTTATATTTGAAGAGGATAAAATGTAACTTTAAATATTTTGAGGGTACTGTAAATAGTTTGCCATGCCATTACTCATTCTATAAAATATTAAATTATTTTAAAAGATAAATCTCTTAAGAATTGAGTTTTCTCAACTAAAGCTAATTTCTTATTTTACTAAGACATGGTGAGAAAATGAGATTGCTTTTTTACTGGAACTTACTTTCATGTGCTGTTATATCCTCCTGTCAGTACTTATTAAGTAACTTGACCAGAGGAAGTACACTTGATTTTTCTTATAAATATTATTATCTATTGCATTTAAAACTTACATAACTGATACAATACACACGAATTCACATGAACTTTTCTCCTGGAATACTTATCCAAAAAAATGTAAGATAAATTAGAATGCCCAAAATAAAAATAACCAGAAATATTAATAAATCCATCTTTCTGAATATACATTTCCTTTGAAGTTAATACTATGTACATGAAAGTTTTTCTTCTTCCTAGCATTACAAAACTTTAGTGCTCAGATATAAATACATCCTGTTTTTTTTTTACTCTGCTGAAATGTTTTCTTTTATTGCACATGCGCTCACTGCTATCAAGTAGCTTCCGACTGATAGTGACCCTAAGGGGCAGGGTAGGATGCCGTCGTAACTTTCCAAGATCAGCACTGTTGACAGGAGTAGAAAGCCTCATCTTTCTCCCCCAGAGCAGCTGGTGGTTTCAGACTGCTGACCTTGCCAGGAGCAGCCCAATGCTTACTCATTCGAGCTCCATGTGATATACTTATCTTGCTTTTCAAGGGCTTTGTGTTTATTTTTTATTTAATATTTTGATCTAAGAAACCTTGTGGTAAGGAGCTCTCACACTGTGGTAAGAGCACTGATGCTAACCAAAGATTGGTGGTTCAAACCTATGCAAGTAACTGCAGGAGAAAATGTGCTCCTATGAAGACAGTAGCCTATACATTCCCACGGGGAAGTTATACTCTGTCACATGGGGAAGTGATGAGCCAGAATTGACTTAATGACACTTAACAATAACAAAATCATTTTATTAAAAAAACTATTTATAGAATGCAAAACATTTTAGAATTCAGAAAATTTGAAACCTTAACCAGTAGCATGACTAAAACCAACCTCTCTGCCATCAAGTCAATGCTGACTCATCGCGACCCTGAGACTGTAACTGTTTACCTGAGTAGAATGCCCCATCGTCCTCCCGCAGAGCTGCTGGTGGTTCACACTGCTGAACTGCGGATCACCGGCCAATGCGTAAGCACTACAGCACCAGTACCACATATGCATATATTTATATACACACTCGCACGCACGCACACACTCACACCTACACAAACTCACTGAAAATTGCCATGAAAAGAATGTATGTTTAAAAATGTTTTTACCAACAAAACAATTTAGTTGAATAATTTGTTCTTTTAAAAGATGATGATCAGAGATAAGCAGCAGTTTGTAACAACAGGATTAAGATTAACAAGCAAAAATTATTCATCTTTCCATGAAAAAATGCTGAACGACCGCCATGATCTCTACATGTAACATGTAGATGCTCCTCCTCTGTAACGAGCATTATATAATTCATTATTTCTATGTATCAAATGTTGCATATACAATATGATACATTTAGAAAAAGGGAGCTTAAATACTTTGTCACAGAGTATATTACTAGTAACAGTAGAAACAACATGGACAGCATATAGTCAATGATGGCAAAACGGTGAAGTACCGGACTACAAAAGGCTGATGGTACAAATCCACCCAGCATATCTCACAAGTCGGGCCTGGCAATTTGCTTTCAAAAAGTCAAACGTATTCTTGAACCCTTCACAGAGAAGTTCTACCTACTCTGCACCCCAGGGAATGTCATGAGTTAGAATCGGCGGCGCACTGGCAACTACTAACAACAGGTGCTAATGTAGATAAATGATTCCTGAAACAGACTGCAGGGAACCACATGATCTGTAGTGAAGAAAATAAGTGAAGAATGAGTTTACCTCCATGTGATTTTTGTTTCTATGAATACAATAATACTGCTCACTTCATGATCATTGTCTCAGGGAAGCCTAAAAAGGTTGAAGTAGAGATATGAGAGATGATATGACACACTCAGGAAATTTTTCATAAATATGATAGGCTAGTCGTGTGTGTGTGTGTGTGTGTGTGTGTGTGTGTGTGTAGTTGTTAGTCGCCATTTAGTGAGTTCCTACCCATAGCAACTGTACGCACAACATAATGAAGACTTCGCAGTCCTGTGCCTTTCTCACAATTATTCTCATGCCTGAGCTCATTGACGCAGACACTGGACCAATCCACCCCCTTGGGGGTCTTTCCCTCCTTCACTGCCCCTCCAAGTTGCCAAGCATGATGTCCTCCTCCAGGGACTGGCCTCTCCTAACAACATGTCCAAAGTTTGTAAGACAGCATTTTGCCATCTGTGCTTCGAAGGAGCACTCAGGCCATACTTCTTCCAAGAGAGCTCAGTTTGTCCTTTGAGCAGTCCATGGTACTTTCAATAGCACCACAATTCAAGAGCGTCAATTCTCCTTCAGTCCTCCTGATTCAATGTCCAAATGATGCAATGGAGAATACCAATGGCATGGATCAGAAGCACCTTGGTCCTCAAAGTAACATCCTTGTTCCTCAACACTGTAAGGAGGTCTTGTGCAGCAGTTTTACCTAATGCAACACATCTTTTGATCTCCTGATCTTTGCTTCCATATGTAATGATTGTTGATCCAACCAAGACAAAATTCTTAAAAACTTCAACGTTTGCTCCATTTATCATGTTACCTATCAATCCAGTTGTGAGGATTTCAGTCTTCTTTACATTGAGTAGTAATCCATACTGTAAGCTGCAATTCTTGTTTTTTATCTAAAAGTGCTTTAAGTCCTCCTTACTTTCAGCAAGCAAAGGTTGTGTCATCTGCATAACATAGATGGTTAATAAGTCATTTAATTCTTCCTTTAATTCTGATACCACATTCGAATGCCTTTGCAGTCAATGAAATACAAGTAAATATCTTTCTGGTATTCTCTGCTTTGAGCCAAGATCTATCTGGCTCAAAGCAGATATGATATCCGTTGTTGTATGTTGCATATCCTCTTCTGAATCTGGGCTGAACTTCTGGAATTTTCCTCTCAATGTACTGCTGCAACCGTTGTTGTATGACCTTAAGCAAAATTTTAATTACATGCGATATCAATGGTATTATTCTATAATTTGAGCATGCAGTTGGATCACCTTTCTTTGGAATGGGCACAAATAGGCATCTCTTCCAGTCAGTTGGTCAAATAGTTGTCTTCCAAATTTACTGGCATAGATGAGTAAGTGCTTCCAGTGCTTATTTGGCTTCCTGAAACATTTCAACGGACTCAGTTCCATTAATTTCTGGAGCTTTGTTTTGGGCTAATGCATACAGTGTAGTTTGGACTTCTTCCTTCAGCACCATTGGTTCTTGCTCATATTCTATCTCCTGAAAAGATGAAGTGTCCACTAATTCTTTTTGGTACAGTGCTCCGTGTATTATCTATTTCTATCTCTATCATCTATCATCTATATCTATCTACACACACACACACACACACACACACACACACACACATAGCTTTAAAAAGCTCATGAATAAAATGCCATTATCCTTCAATTACATTTTTCCATGAACTTTTAACAGCCCTTTCATTCATATTTATATATATAATTCATATGTATATAATTTTCTACCATGTAAAATTTGATTTTATAATATAGCAATTCCCCCAAATCTCATTTTTATAACTCAAAAGTAAATGAAAAGAAATGATAAATTAACTGTATTTAACAAAATTTCAAAATGTTCCATCTTCATTTGTTCCATACAAGCCATGACATTGACCATATTTAACCATCTGACATCAATTTATCCATTTGTGAAAATAAGAATTTATAGTTTACAGGTCCCAAGATTATACTCTGGCTATAGGAATAACATGAAGGCTAGAAGGAGGGTCAAATAAAATATTTTATAGCTTCGCTAGATTAATATTTAAATACATCATACCATTAAGCTATGCTCATCAAAATAGATTTTTCACTGGAGAAAATTTCTAAGTGTAACATGATAAATAGTTCAAAAACGTCTTCATAAATTTATTTGTTATATTATTTATTTAGTTAAATCAACTACCCCAATTCCTTTTCAAAATGATAGCAATTTAAACCTCAGTTTCAATCTGAGTAAAACAAAGTAATACAGAAAAGTTAACTCAGTTACTAAATAGGAGAACCTAATTAAATACAACTCTTCCACGTGTTCTTAAACTTAAAACGTGTCGACTCAGAATTGGTAGTTTCTGTTCAAACCCACT